GGGGGCGGGGATGGGAGGCGGAGGCAGTGGGAGGGCAGCGCCTAGCCTTTGCGGGTGGACACGGCTACGCATGCTGTGGCTCAGCCTCGCAGTCCGGCCTGGACCCTGGTGATTTGCGGGCACGTGGGCGTTTCTCCTTTGCCCCTGAAAGCGACTGTGGTTTCCGGAGGCGTCTGTGCCCTGGGCCTCTGGCTCAGCTCCCGCCGGTCCTCTGTCACTGCTTTCTCTGGGTCAGTCACCACCCTTCCTCAGCTTCCACCACCAGCACCCAAACACCGCCTTCCAAGTCGGTTCCCACTGTGGCAGTGGGACACCCCGGTGGGTGCCACGTGTGAACGTCCTGAAGGAGCGCGTCGGTGTGACTGAGCTCCGAGGCCAGGCCCTGCCGGCGGCCACATGTCCCTGTTTGCAAAAGACCTCCATCACTCACACCCAGGATTTTACAATAATGGGCTTTGTGCTCTGAGGGGCAGCCTGGCCCCCACAACCTCCCTGCTGCTCTCAGCTCCCCTGCACCCCTGCGCGCCCTGCCCCGAGGCACAAGGGACCCTCAGTGTGCAGCGTCTGCGCCTAACAGCCACCTGTTCCCCTTCTGCACCCCATCAAGGACCCGGCAGAACCAAAGGAGCTCTCCTGGGGAGGCCCACCCTCGGGGCTGCTGCGGAGTCTGAGCTGGCAGCAGCCTGACCGCATCGTGAGTTACTGACGGTGGCTGGCGTGGTGTCACAGGTGGTGGTTGTGTGGCCGGTTCAGCTGATCCTGGCTCCTCTGCATTGCTCTCATCTTCTCTGCCCTGGACCACCTCTGCCCTGGACCACTTCTGTCCACCGACCACCTCTGTCCACTGACCACCTCTGTCCTCTGACCACCTCTGTCCACTGAGCACCTCTGTCCTGGACCGCCTCTGTCCACTGACCACCTCTGTCCTCTGACCACCTCTGTCCTCGGCCCCCCTCTGTCCTGGACCACCTCTGTCCTCTGACCCCCTCTGTCCTCTGACCACCTCTGTCCTCGGCCCCCCTCTGTCCTGGACCACCTCTGTCCTCTGACCCCCTCTGTCCTCTGACCACCTCTGTCCTCGGCCCCCCTCTGTCCTGGACCACCTCTGTCCTCTGACCCCCTCTGTCCTCTGACCACCTCTGTCCTCGGCCCCCCTCTGTCCTGGACCACCTCTGTCCTCTGACCCCCTCTGTCCTCTGACCACCTCTGTCCTCGGCCCCCCTCTGTCCTGGACCACCTCTGTCCTCTGACCCCCTCTGTCCTCTGACCACCTCTGTCCTCGGCCCCCCTCTGTCCTGGACCACCTCTGTCCTCTGACCCCCTCTGTCCTCTGACCACCTCTGTCCTCGGCCCCCCTCTGTCCTGGACCACCTCTGTCCTCTGACCCCCTCTGTCCTCTGACCACCTCTGTCCTCGGCCCCCCTCTGTCCTGGACCACCTCTGTCCTCTGACCCCCTCTGTCCTCTGACCACCTCTGTCCTCGGCCCCCCTCTGTCCTGGACCACCTCTGTCCTCTGACCCCCTCTGTCCTCTGACCACCTCTGTCCTCGGCCCCCCTCTGTCCTGGACCACCTCTGTCCTCTGACCCCCTCTGTCCTCTGACCACCTCTGTCCTCGGCCCCCCTCTGTCCTGGACCACCTCTGTCCTCTGACCCCCTCTGTCCTCTGACCACCTCTGTCCTCGGCCCCCCTCTGTCCTGGACCACCTCTGTCCTCTGACCCCCTCTGTCCTCTGACCACCTCTGTCCTCGGCCCCCCTCTGTCCTGGACCACCTCTGTCCTCTGACCCCCTCTGTCCTCTGACCACCTCTGTCCTCGGCCCCCCTCTGTCCTGGACCACCTCTGTCCTCTGACCCCCTCTGTCCTCTGACCACCTCTGTCCTCGGCCCCCCTCTGTCCTGGACCACCTCTGTCCTCTGACCCCCTCTGTCCTCTGACCACCTCTGTCCTCGGCCCCCCTCTGTCCTGGACCACCTCTGTCCTCTGACCCCCTCTGTCCTCTGACCACCTCTGTCCTCGGCCCCCCTCTGTCCTGGACCACCTCTGTCCTCTGACCCCCTCTGTCCTCTGACCACCTCTGTCCTCGGCCCCCCTCTGTCCTGGACCACCTCTGTCCTCTGACCCCCTCTGTCCTCTGACCACCTCTGTCCTCGGCCCCCCTCTGTCCTGGACCACCTCTGTCCTCTGACCCCCTCTGTCCTCTGACCACCTCTGTCCTCGGCCCCCCTCTGTCCTGGACCACCTCTGTCCTCTGACCCCCTCTGTCCTCTGACCACCTCTGTCCTCGGCCCCCCTCTGTCCTGGACCACCTCTGTCCTCTGACCCCCTCTGTCCTCTGACCACCTCTGTCCTCGGCCCCCCTCTGTCCTGGACCACCTCTGTCCTCTGACCCCCTCTGTCCTCTGACCACCTCTGTCCTCGGCCCCCCTCTGTCCTGGACCACCTCTGTCCTCTGACCCCCTCTGTCCTCTGACCACCTCTGTCCTCGGCCCCCCTCTGTCCTGGACCACCTCTGTCCTCTGACCCCCTCTGTCCTCTGACCACCTCTGTCCTCGGCCCCCCTCTGTCCTGGACCACCTCTGTCCTCTGACCCCCTCTGTCCTCTGACCACCTCTGTCCTCGGCCCCCCTCTGTCCTGGACCACCTCTGTCCTCTGACCCCCTCTGTCCTCTGACCACCTCTGTCCTCGGCCCCCCTCTGTCCTGGACCACCTCTGTCCTCTGACCCCCTCTGTCCTCTGACCACCTCTGTCCTCGGCCCCCCTCTGTCCTGGACCACCTCTGTCCTCTGACCCCCTCTGTCCTCTGACCACCTCTGTCCTCGGCCCCCCTCTGTCCTGGACCACCTCTGTCCTCTGACCCCCTCTGTCCTCTGACCACCTCTGTCCTCTGACCACCTCTGTCCTGGACCACCTCTGCCCTGGACCACCTCCAGTTGGAGGCTTTGCTTGGGACTCAGTTCATTGCTCAGAAGTCAGTTCTGCTCCTTTGTGTTGGGCGGCAAAGTGCAGGCCATGAGGCCCTTGGGCAGATTTGTTGCTCTTGCCACCCTGTCAGCACATCCCCTGCGCCAGCCTCTGTGCCCAGGCTCTGTAGCCAGGAGACAGCCTGGGATGTGGGGAGTCGCCTGGAGGATGGGGCCAGGGAGATGGGTTTCTATCCTCTGGTGCTGAGGAGCATTGATTTCCATTTAAAGCAGTTTAAACTGATCATTTTCTAAAACCCACCTGCTGGGGACTGGAAATACTGGGGGTGGGGGAACTGGGAAAGTATTTGACTGTCTAACCCAGGGGTGGGCAAACTTTTTGACTCGAGGGCCACAATGGGTTCTTAAACTGGACCGGAGGGCCAGAACAAAAGCATGGATGGAGTGTTTGTGTGAACTAATATAAATTCAAAGTAAACATCATTACATAAAAGGGTACGGTCTTTTTTTTTTTTTTATTTTTATTCTTTTCAACCGGGCGGGTCCGGGCCCGCGGGCCGTAGTTTGCCCACGGCTGGTCTAACCCTTATGTACATCGGAAACGATTCCAAAATAGAACTGAACGTAAACTGTAATGAAAGAATATTAATTAAAAAATTAGAAATTAAGCCCTTGCCGGTTTTTGATTCCCAGTCAAGGGCATGTACCTGGGTTACAGGTTCAATTCCTGGCCCTGGTTGGGGCTCATGGGGGATGCAACCAATTCCTGTGTCTCTTGAATCAATGTCTCTCTCTCCCCCTCCCTCCCTTCCTTCCACTCTCCAAAAATTCAATGGAGAAAAAACTATCCTCGGGTGAGGGTTAAAATAAGTAAGTAAAGTAATAATTAAAAACACCTGCTAGCCCTAACCGGTTTGGCTCAGTGGATAGAGCGTCGGCCTGCGGACTGAACGGTCCCAGGTTCGATTCTGGTCAAGGGCATGTACCTTGGTTGCAGGCACATCCCCAGTGGGGGGTGTGCAGGAGGCAGCTGGTCGATGTTTCTCTCTCATTGATGTTTCTAACTCTCTATCCCTCTCCCTTCCTCTCTGTAAAAAATCAATAAAATATATATTTTTTTAAAAAGAGTACTAGTATAAAGTGATTTGGCTTACAATGTTGATAGATAGCAAGCTACTAATAATTTAACCTGAAAATCAGATCTTGACACTGGGTTTTACCTGGTTCCTGGTAATTTGCCAAGAGACGGCTCGTATCTCGAAAAACTCGTTAGTCGGGACACTCGTAAGTCAAGGCCCCACTGTATTTAAAAAATAAAAATTAAAAAATAAAAATTAAAAAATAAAAGCACCTGCTAAATCTTGGGCGATGCCTGTGTGTGTGTGTGTGTGTGTGTGTGTGTGTTTGTGTGAGGTGAAGCTGTGAATTAAAATAACATCAAATAGCCAAGGCATCAATTTGGTAAGACTAAACCCAGACACGTATTCTCCATTAAGTGAATGGAGGTGAGAACAGGAAATCGTGCCTGACAGGCACTCATTCTTCATGCATTCCCGTTTTTTTCACACTGAGGACTTGTTTGGACCGGATCAGTGGTCCTAGTTCAGGGCCAGGATGAAAGTGGCCTGGGGTCTGGGGCAGTGCGTGCTACCTGCCCACTGTCCCGGGCCAGGGAAAGCCAGCGCAGCCTCGCCTTGAAGCTCACGGTGGGATG